AAGGCCTCCATTGGCCACCCCCTGGCTCCACCACTGCACTTAACCACAGTATAACTCCTCTCCACTTGAACATGGTGCATCAAAACCGTTAACGTTCACCAACATTCCCCGTTCAGTTCCAGTCCAGAAAAACACTCGTCTCCACATCTACAGGCATTCACTATTCAAATCCCTCAGCGACGGGGGACATCCGCATACCGCTTGTTTAAATGGGGAACAGATGATCTGAACTCTTGCACAGTTGCTAAACTGTTTACTCATTCATCCGTTTTCTCGTCCTGGAGGCATCAGGTCCAGAACCAGTCCAGGATCATTTAAGGAAACGGTGAAAGGGACACTTTACACTGGTTTATCATTTCACCGTAACTCACGTTCTTATACTGTTTGTCTTTTACCTCCTGAGTCCAAGTCAACGTCTTCGTCCACACTGACCACGTGGACTCCAGGGGACAGGGGTGTGTTTTGTCTCTCAGGGGGGTACACATCCGCCTCATCTAGTGGAAGCTACAGAAGACAAGATGAAAATGTAAACTGCTAAACTTAATCTTCCTTTTTTTTTCTTTCATGCATAGCTAACCATCTCCAGATGCTGCAAACCAGGGAACTCCGATATGGGAGTACTTCACATCTTTTATCCAGTCGGCAGGGTGTCATAATTGCAGTTTTGAACATTTCGTTAACACCACCGCGCCCGTATGTTCCACTGCAACCACATCATTTGGACAAATTCAAAACAGCCATAACAATCATCTGAAGCTGTTCTGTTCATATATTCCTCAGTGAGTGGTGTTTCCAGATAATACGAGCGCATTTACAACGTGTTTAGGAGTTCACACGACTTATTCAAGGAGCCCTTACGCAACGCTGCTTTAGCAGGTTGTGCACAACCTTCAAATGACTACAAACAGTACAGTAGGAAGTATTAAATATGTACAGTTATGGAAAAAATTATGTCCACTCTCTTTAAAATCTAAGGCTTTATGTTTCAGGACATGGTTTTATCAGGTTCTAAAACCGTTCTAATCCAATTTTAAGGGAATATGCAACAGATTCCACTGAGCTGTTATTAAACAAAACCAAACCAAAATAGAAAAGCTGTAAGAAAAACTAAGTCCACCCCATGAGTTAGAACTTTGCAGAGCCATCCATCTTTAGCAGCTGTAATTCAAAGTATTTGTTTTCTGTCAGGCTTAATCAGCCTCTCGCATAGATTGCAGGGGAGGGATGTTGGCCCACTCTTTTTTACAACGTTGCTTCAGCTCAGTTAGGATTTGAGTTTCTGCTCAGCTCTCTGAAGGTCCCACCATCACAATTGTCAGGTCGAGGTTCTGGACTTTGACTGGACTACTGCAACACCTGGATTTTTTTTCCTTTTTTTGCCATTCTGTTGTAGATTAGCTGTTGTGTTTGGGATCGTTGTTCTGTTGCAATATGACCAGTGACAATTTTAGCGTCTTTTTGGGGCGTGCTCTAGCGCCCCTAAATTTTAACTCAGCCCCCCTGAAACTCTGAGAAACCATCATTAGGATTTTTTTAAGGAAACGCAGTTCTCAAACCTTGGATTCACCAAAACATTGAATAAATTTGAAATAAATATGGAATAAATAATGACGATCATTAAAATCAGATTTATTTATTTTTTTGCACGAGTCGGATCCTCAACACCACCTGTCAATCAGTCCAGCAGGCTTGTCAGCAACTGACCAATCAGAGACATCAATTTGTCCCGAAATGGAACCGCCCCTTACCTGCAGGAGCTCCACCCCCTTTTCTTCAAACAACATTGTCGGGGTTTTGCATTTTGAACTCTTTGTGGTCAGAGGGATTTCGTGAAAAATCAGCAGAAAAAGTGATTAAACGTTGTCAGTGGGGAACATGTAATTCATGTTACTCTGAGCATTTAGAGGGTGGAACACAGTTTATTTCATTTCACAAACTAAGAAAAGTTTGGAAAAATGTAAAAGCTGGACAAAGACCGGCAGGTCGCCTGCTGAGCAGCTGAATACAACAGTGATAAACAGGAAGTACCACATGTTCATCTATACAAAGGTAACTGCAAGTAAATTTCCATTTTCTGTTATAATTACATTGTATGATTAATGTTTAAATTAAAAATTAATGCTTAAAGCTAGTACTTTGTTTAGTGTGTAAAGTAAATGGTTAGGATGCGTGAGAGAAGCGGCGCGTGCTCTATTCACACAAGGGGAGCTGTTGGTCAGGCTACTTCTTGTGCCATGCTCTCTAAAACAGTTATTGGATCGTGTTTACTTATGTAGGTAAACATAGAAGTTTAACAACCCATTCAAATACACCAGAAAGCAGGAAATGGCATCTACTTTATTCAAAATTTTCTGGGGGAAGACCCCTGATGCCAGTGGCCACTGCATTGTTCAAGCCAAGAGCCATTATCAACACTGGGGGCTGAGCAACTACTAAAGAGCAGATTCTAGAATCACCCAGATCCTGACCCAGTTTGATCCAGTCCTCAGCTGTAGGACAGATGACCTCACATTTGTCTCTTGAACCATTTGGTCCACAGAGGAGTTCATTGATTTGACGACTGCAAGGTGCCCAAAACAAGCTCAAATCATCAGCCCACCACCAACGACTTGGGTGTTTCTGATTATATGATGTGTATAACCTTCACCGAGCATGCTGCTGTGCATTATGGGTAAACATCTCCGCTTTGGTCTCACCTCCCTAAGGAATACCGCTCCAGACGTTTTGTTGTCTAACTCGTGCTGCCTTGTTCTTTTTAGAGAGAGGGTGTTTTCTCCTGCAACCTTGTACACTTAGTCCAGCAAACCGAGGACTCCTGCTCTCAAAGAGACGCTGATCAGGTAATCAATGCATTTGATCAGCAGCACCTGGCTGATACTTTCACTCTTGGATCCTCTGAGGGCAGTAGGAATGGACTTAGTTTTTTTCTGCGGTGTCTTTTATGTTTTAGCTTCATATCACACTGGAATCTGTTGTTTGTTTTTGGACATTTGGAGTCAGGGTTCAATTATTTATTTAGAAGACCTGCTTTCTTCTTGATTGTATTTGTTCTCACCTGTGGTTGCTGTTCCTGGGGATGTCCGGCGCGTCCCTTTTGAGCCGTCTGTGGAGGATCGGGTGGGGCGTATTCCCTCTCTGCTGGCTCTGGACTAAGCCTGGGTTCTGGCACATCTTCCCTGTTGTCTGACACCTGGTGATCAGAAACCTCTGAAAGAGAAGGAGAGTTAAGACTCTTAAGTAAATGGGGATCAGTATGGTCAGTGTCAGCAGGAGCTACAGGGTCTTCACCAGTCAGAGTATAGCGATCCACTTCTTGTTCCGTTTCTGCCGCAAAGGTATTATCTGAGTATTCCAACTCATATTCAGGGGTGGTGGTTTCCTTGAAGAGGAAGCAAAAAATTGATTTGATGGTCATCTAAGTGCAACTTAAATTTAAACTAAACAAAAAAAACCTGTAACGTTACCGGGGAGAGGTCTTCAGGACGTGAGGTAGCAAGGAGTCCACCAATGGATGCAGGAACGATGTTGCTGAAGGAGTAACGACTACCCGTGTGGAAAAGCCAAACACCAGGAATCCCAGTATTACCAACCCTAGAAGAGAAAAAAAGTCAGACCATACCCAAGATATCTCCAAACCCCACAGTAATATACATTTTTCATTTATTGTAGTAGCAATATAATTATTAAAACCTGTAGTTGTCCTGTTATCGTAACATGTTACATACTCTGAGGCCAATGTTTTGCAGGTAACCTACTTTAGAAGCTAGTTGACATGTCAAAAGTGCTTTGTTGAAAATAGTTCAAATAAAATTGGCAATGACACCAAACTGTACATACACAAGGTACCGGTAAATTTAAGGGTACATGTTGTTTTATGACCCAAATGCCAGTGCTCCGAAGGATTTGCAATGGTGTGTGATCCCTAACCTCTTGGTAAATGGTTATTTTTGTCTCACAGCAATGACAGTAGACTTCATTACAGTTTGGTTACCATCTTTAAAATAGAAATGTAATTTTGCACCAAAAATTACTTGAGAATCTAAGTTGTCCCACTGACTGTAGGCAGGTCAACTCAGGTCTAGGCAAAAATGCACATTTTATTTATGTTAGTATAAACTCATGCATTGTCTAATGGATAGTTATTGTACTCTGTCTGTTCACAAGCAAAAATTTCCAGAATGTCTTGTTGAAATGTAAGCTATGATACTCTTGACTTGTAAATAACAAGACTATTACTGTGAAACTTATGTAAAACCACAAAAATGACCGCTCACGATGCGTTGTGATAGCTTGTCCAATGCTCCCTCCATCTTCTACTGTTTATCTGTCACCGGGTCATAGAGGCAACAAGTCCAGGAGAGAAACCAAGACATCCTTCTCCCCAGGGACACTCTCTAACTCCTCCTGAGGGAATCAGGCATTCCCAGGCCTGAGAGGATATAATCTTTCCAGCAAGTTCTGGGTTTGTCCCAGGGTCTCTTCCCAATGGGACATGCCTGGAAAACCTTGAAAGGGGGGTGTCTAGGAGGCATCCTGATCAGCCTCTACTGACCTCTACTGATGCAGAGGAGCACTGGATCTACTCCAGGCTCTCCCCAAATGATGGAGCTCCTCACTCTATCTCTGAGGCTGAGTCTGGCCACCCCTACGAAGGAAGCTCATTTCAACAGCTTGTATCCAAGAGTTAGTTCTTTCTGTCATGATCCAAACCTCATGACCATAGGTGAGGTTTTGGAATGTAGACACACCAGTAAATCAAGAGGTTTGCCTCTAGACTCAAAACTTTTTTCACCATAACTGACCAAAGCAGCATCCTCGTTACTGAGGACGAGCCCCAGTTTGTCCATCCAGGTCCTGCTCTGTCCTACCATGCATGAACAAGATAATTATTTTTTTTTTACACGGTTAAAAAAAAAGGGGTTTATGGACAAACACATTTGGATAATAACTGGCAAAAGAACAATACAACTACTGGGAACTAGGTTCTGTCCCTTGTTTCTCAATCCAAACAAATACTAAATCTGAAAATATTTTCGGATGTAGGCACAAACTTTAAACGTTTTAACTCAACAATTTTCAGTCAGGTCATCTGGAAAATTGTTGGATTGTATACCTGGATTATTGAGCATGGACTTTGTTGTTTAAACGTTTTACACTGCAACTCTGCTAGAGCTAGAGCTGACATGTGCAACTTGTCAGCTAGCTAACAAAAGGAAATACAATATCTCTCACTAGCTTGCACTCATAAAAAGACACTTTCATTTAGCTTTCTAAAATATTACGTTTAGTCGGCGCATGTATTACATGTAAGCTAAATGTTAGCTGCAATGGATAAAATGAACAAAACACCACTAAATCACTGTTAGCCTGTTAGCTATTTGCCAACTATAGCAGTAGTTCTCAATCCTGGTCCTTGAGGAACACCAGCCTGCATGTTTTATTTGTTTCCCTGCTCCAACACACCTGATTCAGTGATTTAATTACTTCCTCGTGTTCTGCAGAAGCCTGTTAATTACCCATTAATTAAAATCAGGTGTGTCGAAGCAGAGAAACAACTAAAACATGCAGGATGGTGTTCCTCAAGGACCATGGTTGGGAACCCCTGAACTATAGTACAGGTAACCTCGTTGTTTTAAACTGTAATGTTAGCTTCCTTCCCTAGCAGTAATCAGTCAATTGTTTTATAAAAAAAAATTATATTAATGACTATGTTACATTTTATAGCCTCAATAAAAACAACATAGTAACTGAAGCTACGTCAGATTTTTTTAAGCCAGCAGCTTGTTCGAACATATACTGTACTGTAGTTATAATTTGATGGTTGAAAGGGTGCCCATGGTTTAGTCTTAATTATACTGACTGGTATAAGCTTTTAACACTGTCTTCATCAGTAGTAACGCTGTAGAATGGTCCCTCAGTCCGGGAGAAGAATAAAAATGTAATTTCTCCTTTACTGAAGCCAACTCTTGCAGGAAGCTCAATCTTGACATTATATGACTCCTGGAGAGAAAAAACAAAAACAAATTACAAAACTGAACAATTAGGATTAAAGTTTCACCTAAACTATCTATTAGTAACACTAATATGTCTACAACACTAGACGTAAAAAACACTGCGAGCATTCAAACCAGTTCACCTTATGTCGCGTTCCAAAAAAATTCAGACCACCTTCAGGGTAAAGGAAGAGGACGTATGAGTCAGTCTCATCGTAACCGATCACTGCTTGGAAGGTATTGAACTGTAGGGATAGAAAACAAGCTGGGTTAGTTTATACAGGAATTACAATTGAGATAAAAAATAATTAGTTATCTCACAGGATGCTAAACATATTGGCTTCGGAAAGTATTTATACCCCCTTCATTCAATCTACATTTAGTACTCCACAATGGCAAGTGAAACAAGCAATACATGGATGTCCCCCACCACTAAGGGATTAGAATAGTGAATGTTAATTTTTGAGATGAGTGTTTTTCTAGACTGGAATTGGACAGAGAATGCAACCTTAAGGCTTTTGGTGTGAGATTTTCAAGTGGGGAGGTGTTTCACTGTGGAGAAGAACAGAGGTATGCTTTTTTTGCTTGTCCGAGGTAGCGCAGATTGACGGTCCTGGTGAGCGAGGGAGCAATTTCATCCACCATCACGTTCAGTGGCTGAGACGGGGTGGCCAATGGTGGCCTTGGCAGACATAGCTTAATCTTCATACACCCCAATAATTTGGGGAAACTATAGCGGCCTTGCCATTAATAAGTGCAACTTCAATCGGCTCTTGTCTTATCGGTTCACTTTAGATGTAGGTGATTTGCCACTGTGACATGTTTCCCCGTTGTGTGGGTGGTATCGTAACCTGTCTTGTTGTGTTTGAGCCACTCCACTCGTTTTAGTCCTTAATCACCTGTAGGTGGACTTTAATTTCTTTGGCTTATCCAGTCACTGTTTATATGTGTGGGTGTAGCCATGCCGCGTCATAATTTCCGATATCTCGATAAATGCGCTCATTTATTGTGGCGCCATCCGTCAACGCGATGAGGAAGTTGGGGTTCAGATGTAGATAGCAATATTGCTGGGCGGGTCATCTAGTGACATAGCACCGCTGGCCATTTGAACGGCTGCTGTCTGCTTACGTCAAAATCGTCACCTCAGAGCAGATTGCTTGGAACTTCAAACAAGGTGGTCCCATAAACCGAGCTGAGTGGGGTTGGGCACCAAAAGTGGGTAGGCCCTTAACTGGTGCGGTGTGGAACCGATGAGACTCGAGACAGTGGCAAAGTGCCATATACTTTTAAGCAATATAAAAAGAAGAAAGCATAGTTTCCTCAAATGACTGGGCTGGTCAGTTCATATATATGTGTGTAAAGGTGGTCATCTTGAATTTTGGCGTGGCAACACAATTTTCAATAGGGACATTTTTATGCCTAGATGCAGCCATAGAAAAATGGAAGTTGGCACATTGCTTATTTTTCAAAATATCCAGATCAAAAGATGGACGGACAATATGTCCAAATTCTCTTTTTACTCAGCATCGGGGAAACAGACACGTGATTTGGAACATTCACACACAATAAAGTCACATAAATACAGTTTTCATTTCATGACTTGAAATGTGAGCAGCACGGTGGCGCAACTGGTAGAGCAGGTCCCTGGTTCAAATCCCGGTCTGGGGGGCTTTCTGGGTGGAGTTTGCATGTTCTCTCCGTGCATGCGTGGGTTTTCTCCGGGTATTCAGATTTCCTCCCACAAACCAAAAACATGCATGTTAGGCTGATTGGTAACTCTAAATTGTCCCTAGGTGTGAGTGAGAGAGTGAATGGTTGATTGTCTCGTTTGTCTCTAGGTGGCCCTGTGATGGACTGGAGACCTGTCCAGGGAGTACCTCGCCCCTTGCACAGTGATTGCTGGACATGGGCACCGGCGACCCCCGTGACTCAAAACGGAAGAAGCGTGTAAAAGATAATGGATGGATGGATATTTTTGCTATTTTTGGGTGTAACTGGGACCTTGAGTACACAATTTTGTTCCACCTTGTGTACCACACGTGATGTGAATGACAATGAAGTCACCTTAAACCTTGAGTTCCAGAAGGACAACCAAAACTGGAGGCCTCCATTAATCTCATTCAACCTTTATTTATACAGGTTAGTCTCATTGAGTCACGAGGACCGATTTACAAGGGAGACCTGTGAAAAAGCTCATAAATCTCAATTTATGGCAGTGTGGTGAGACAAGCCTCTTTTCAAAACAAATCATTTAGAAGTCTGCTTGAAGGACTTTCAGACTGAGGGACATAATTCTCTGGTCAGGTAAAGCCTAGGCTGAACTGTTAGACCCTACTTCAATGGCTTTGGTAATACAAGCTCGAAACTTGGCAGAAAGTTCAGTAGAAATAAATAATAAACTTTACACTATGTGGTTTATACCCTTCCTATCATTCGTTTTTATACCCGACAGCAAAAACATTAGTAGCTCAGAGAAGTTTAACTCTGCTTGACCACCTTAAAAATTAGTGATTCACACTTTTGTACATTTTACTTCGTTGTCCACCTCTGCCTCCTCTTCCATCTCCCCCTCTGTTGTTTGGTGGACATGCCCCCCTTTAATCTACCTCTTGCAACTTTTCTGCAGTTTGTTTCCCCATATATCTACGTTGCACAAACACAAATGAAATAAATGAATCAATAAACGAGGGACCATTTGTCTGTCATCTCCCACATGCTTGTTAGGGCAATCCGGCCGACCCTGCCTACTAAAACCACAGCAGAAAAACAGGTTTTGTGAATGAAGGGAAGACTTTGAGCGATCCTACGTCGTTTTCCTTTGAAACAGGACTTGATTACCAACACACACACACACAAAACCAATGTATATACAGCGCACCTTGTACTCACAAGCCCAGATGTTGATCCCAACAGCTGTCTTCCTGTGTCTCTGACCATTTTTCACATCCATGGTACAACTTACAAACCAGACGTCGTTACAAAGTGAGCCACAGGGCACGAACAAACACAGATGTCTCTCGACCTATAGTCATCTCACATGAATGTATGTGGGCCTGCTAATTGTTTACAACAACATCTTTAAACTATCTCACTGTTTGGGGGAGGGAAGGACTTTGTAGTCACCAGATTCTTTGTAATCAGTAGAGGGGGGCTTATTTTTTCCTTTTCATGTTTCGTAAAAGAAGGATGGGAAGTGGAAGCTACCAGAGGAAATCTGTTCTTTTTGTTGGTTCTCTACGGTGACCCTAAGGTGTAAATGAACAACATTTGAAAAAACAGAATTACATTTGAAAATTCGGCTCAATGTAATTTCATTTTTTCAAACGTAATTCCATTTTTTCAAATGTAATTCCATTTTTTCAAACGTAATTCCATTTTTTCAAATGTAATTCAATTTTTCTCAAACGTAATTCAATTTTTTCAAACGTAATTCCATTTTTTTCAAAAGTAATTCCGTTTTTTCAAATGTAATGCATTCCGTTTTTTTTTTTTCCTAATGTGATTCTGACCACTTCCGCTTTGGCCACTTCCACTTTGGCCACTTCCATTTTGGCTTGATGTAAATCCGCTTTGGCCACTTCCACTTTGGACACTTCCATTTTGGCTTGATGTAATTCCGTTTTTTCAAATGTAATTCTGTTTTTTTTTTGTTTTGTTTTTTTATATGATTCCGACCACTTCCGCTTTGGCCACTTCCACTTTGGCCACTTCCACTTTGGCCACTTCTACTTTGGCTTAATGTAATTAAATTTTTTCAAACGCAATTCCATTTTTCAAACGGAATTCCATTTTTTCAAATGTAATTCCGTTTTTTTTTTCCAAATGTGATTCTGACCACTTTTGTTTTGGCCACTTCCGCTTTAGCCACTTCTGCTTGGGCCACTTCCGCTTTGGCTTGATGTAATTCCGTTTTTTCAAATGTAATTCCATTTTTTTCCCCAAATGTGATTTCGGCCACTTCTACTTTGGCTTAATGAAATTCCATTTTTTCAAACGCAATTCAATTTTTCAAACGGAATTCCATTTTTTCAAATGTAATTCCATTTTTTTCCCCAAATGTGATTTCGGCCACTTCCACTTTGGCTTAATGTAATTCCATTTTTTCAAATGTAATTCTGTTTTTTCAAATGTTGTGCATTTACACCTGAGGGCCACCGTAGTCCTTTTGTAAAAGGTGTATTTTCTTTCTTTGATTCCCTCTTTTTAAAACTTGAGAAGAAGCTGAAGAAGTAAAAAGTTGAACTAGGACGGTAATCATTGTTTTTGGGCGTATTCCTAATGCAGTGACGAATGCTGCAGGATGTTTACGTGGAAATGTTTTATTGGTATAAAAAAAAGTATATTTTTAATGTAGGCAAAACACAGTTTTGCAAAAATGCTGTACAAAGCACCAAGTTTTATAAACTTTTTTCACACAGCTTTAATTTACTGTATTTTACTAACAGTCACGAAGGAGAAGAAGCAGAGAAAGGTACTATTTAAATGCTCTATGCAAACGTATGGCTAATTCAGAACAACACCCAGAAGCTTGAAGACTTTTGACTGAAAGCAGCTGTGTTAAAAAATTAAAAAAATAAAACTGTGATGCTGCTGATCAGGGACAGCTGAAGCGTATAAATAAAAGGTGCTGGTATGGCAAGCAATTGTATTAAGTAAGCAACACTTCGAAAAGTACTGCCATTGGCACATAATAATATTTTTAGTAAATTACTGAATAAATACTTTGTTGGAGTCAAACTTTCTGTTTACACATGGCCTGTGGGTAATTTTTTACACTTACGATTTAATTAAAAAAAAATAATTTTTTAAAAAGAAACGACCGCAAGTTAAACTTTTTTATTTTATAGATAATTTTCCAGTTGATGAATCCTATATTGCTGTGCATGACTTGCTACCTTACACCCTCCCTATTACCCTAAAAAGGGTATTTTTTATTGTGTCTCTGGTTCTGCTAGGCAGCACGGTGGCACAACTGGTAGAGCTGCTGCCTCTCAGCGAGAAGGTTGCCGGTTCAAATCCCGGGCCGGAGGCCTTTCTGGGTGGCGTTTGCTTGTTCTCTCCGTGCATGCGTGGGTTTTCTCTGACTGCATCCATACAGGTATATCTGTTTGTCTTTTTCCTGGCAGCTTCATTTCTAACACCCTTCGACCAATATACCCACAGTCCCTCCTCTGGACATGTCCAAACCATCTCAGTCTGGTCTCTCTAACTTTATCTCCCAGTTGTTCAACCTGTGCTGTACCTC